TTCGGTTTGAAATATTTGTGATTATCAAACGCTTCAAATCGTTTTGTTCCTGTGGGGTGTATGGGGTTGGAGCTCCAAATCCATAGTTATAATGCGTGTGGTTTTTGTTTAACTTATCCCTTTGATTTTATGGTGTGTACGTGGCTGCGGGGGCTACATAAATTATGAACGGTTGATGCCCCTTATAATCTGGGTGGGAAATTATATTATTGAAATAATAGCCGCATTACCGAGTATGTTTATGAAGTGAGTTCTTATGTTAGTGCCGAATAATGGAAGGTTTCTTTCACTATCATAACTTAAAAATTGAGGAATTCAAGTGCAAATTATGAAGTTTTCTGATTCAGAATCTGCATCTCGTTATCCTCTGGACAATTCTGTGTTTCGGTTAACAACTAGTAATCCTTTTGGGTGAAGATAACTTGTAAATGAGGAATCAAAGTGCAAATTATCAAGTTTTTAGACCTAAAACCTTTATCTTCTTATTACAAGACAATGCTGAGCATTGGTTAGCAACTACTGATAATTTTGGTTAAACATGTCTGGCAAATGCTGTTAACTCGTTCACGAAAGTTCACAAAATACCGATTTAGTATAAAATATTTGCGTTAAGATTAGACATGGTGGTCTTCTAGGCTGCTTCGTTCGAAATTTTGACTGCGAAAAAATTCAGCGTCCACCATTTCAGTTATTACCCTGCTACCAGTAGGGAATCTAGCTGTGCGACACTATAACTTGCCACTTTCAACGTACTAAATACACAATCAAACAATAATCCGCTGCATAAAAGCACAGTTATACTTAATACCGCTTACCAGTTTCTTAATAAAACGTATGAGTTTTGTGATTTCACAAAATTTCACACTGAAAGTCATACGAAATGCAAATAATGTGAAAGACACTTACTCGGCGAGACAATAATTTAATAATTTTCTAGCACCACACAACTAAAGTGGCCACCGACTTGTTCGCAAGTGACTTCCAAAAATGCTACCAACTTGCTGAACTCCACCACCAGCCAACTTACTCAGGGGGATTACATGCGCCCGCCACTTCCACGTTGCCAAGACGGTAAGTGGCAATGGGTGTTCTCGGAATTGTCGACGCCAAGCCAAAAGAAATACCTTTCACAAGGACTTGACGGTTGCATCGCCTTCTTGCTACCCACCAGAGCGCCTTAATGTATGCAAATTAATGAGTTCACGGGAAAAACAACCGTATGGAAATGTTTATTAAAACTGACGTAATTGAACGGCGCGGAAGCATCCAACATATGTGATTGAAGAAGAAGAAGCAGCAGAATGTGATGAAAAATGGAAACCCATATTTCAGGATGCATCCACACTTGTGTGAATACATAAAAACACACACATGCTTGTGTGTCTGTTCGTGTGTATATTTGAACAAATTTACATTGTAAATGTATGCGGCATACCGGCTCAAGCAATAAATGCTACATACACATGGTACAGCATGCACCCCCGCCAAAGCGGTGCGCAAATATTGCCCGCGGGCCCTTCAGTTGCGGCGCGTACATATGACTTTGGCATGAAGGACGCAGCGGAGCTGTGGAATTTTGTGTTCAGCGCTGGAACTGGCTCCGATGCAGCCATAAATAACGGACACATTTACTTTGCGCGGCGTCATCCAGCGAAACTTGCTGTCAGCAGTGACGTCAGCGGCAAAACAAATAGCGCCAAAGAACAGTGGACGAAAATTTGAGGATTTCCATTACGAGAAAATTAAAATGAAATATTTTATTTTTGCATTGGGAAAAGAGGTTGCAGCATATGCTATAAGCTTTGTGAACCAGCACGCCGCTAACTTGAAATTTAAAATTGAAAGAATTGGAGCTTCATGCGTTCGAAGTTGTAGATTTTCGGACATTGCGGGAGTAAAATAATATGGTGCAGTGAGATCATCAAATATCCTTTGACGATTATTATAGTCGAAATCAATTCCAATTGCACTGATAATACCTTCTTCTTAGCACTTTGCTGAAGAAATCAGTTTTGATACAATCGAAATCCTAATATGGCCCATGTCCGTACAGAATTTTATCTATTAATAAGCCAACAGTCAGAAGTATTTATAGATAGATAAAAGCCATGTGTTGTTCGAATTTATAGGAATCATGTCAAGGTGAATTAAATTTGCTTCACACGCCCACTCATGCATAGATCACCTGATTTTTGAAACAGTTAAGGCATGTAGGTGAGGCATTGAGGCATTTGCATGGCCTTGGCAATATGTCTCAGTCACTAAATTATACAAAATATGATTAGCCACCATTCAACCAGCTGCTTTTGCATCAGCAAATCAACACGACCATGAGAGAATATGCAAGGCGACTGCAGTGGTGTAAAGCAAGACTTAGTACAAAAGTTGACAGTGGCGACCAAAACAAATTAGCCACATGCATAAATGCATATAATCACAGCTTCGATCCGAATCTAATTGAAAAATGGTTGCTCAACTTAACGACGCCACTGTGCCTCTTCGATTAGATGCTTTCTCTGTACTAAATTTAGTAAAGACCTTTGCAATTTTTTTTTTTTCTTATAAGAACAGTTAAACTTTCGATTCCCAACAAGGCTGAGTAAACTAATGATGAAGTAAACCTGTTATTTGTCAATAAATAATTCGATTTGTAATGTTGGCCAGAAGTTCAAGTAAACAAGTGTTTCCAAAAATACGATCTAAAAGAAAATCCCCAAAAAAAAGACAATAAAATTGGAAAAAGACGAATTGCTTTATTATTTAGACAACGTTGGAGCTTAACGCCATAATTCGATACGAAAATTTCGTGCCATAAAAAGTAATAGCCTATTTCGAGCCTTCATAATTTCCCAAAATACAAATAACAGTAATAGGAACTTTCGTAACTTTGTTTACACACAAACACGCGCCCACCAGGCCACCAGGCCACCACGCCCGCACTGGAAGCGTGAGGCCGTAAGGCCATAAGACCGCGTGAGCCGAAAGACGCTGCAGTGTAGTAAAAAATAAAAATTGTAGGCAAATAAAAAGTTATATGCCTCGCATATTTGACCATTCACATTGTTTTTCCTTGTCATTGTTGTTGTATCATTACCGTTATTGCCACTAGAACAGAAAGAAAAAAACATTAAAATGACACAAGTGACGAGCCACGGCTGACTGCCCCGGTCGCAGCGCCGCTGAGCTAGCGTACGAGCAACTGACGGCTGCCAATTGGATCCTAGCGGTAATGACCCTCACACTCACAATATCGGCTATTATCGCTTTCTTTGAGTCAATGTGTGCGCGGCGAACGTCAACAGCAATGGCGTGGAACTGTCTCCATAGATGACGGTGAAGAGATGCGAGGCCGTTGGTCGGGGTCATTGAAAACTGTAAAATCAATTATAATGAACAGATGGTGGAAAAGGAACAAAACGCAACAAGACAATTACAGGGCTCTCCAGCCGCAGCAATAAAGAAGAGAAAATATCCACTAAGGCAAACAAAAGGTGCAAATAGCCATTCTGACAAGGACAAAAGGGCCATAAAATAAATGTTTTTATATGGGCTGAAAAAACAAGGGAAAAGGGTAAAACAAATAAACGAAATTAAGCCAGTGTCTTTATGGCTCGCGCCAAATCGTCAGTACTTGCCAAAAAAGCAACAACAAAAAAAAACAAGTAAGGAAGTGCTAAGTTCGGGTGCAACCGAACATTTTTTACTCTTACAAGTTGGAAGAATTAAAACAAGGGCGCAAACCGTCAACCAGAGAATCAAAATCCAAGCAATCTCATTTTTACACTGGCCGAAATTTCGGTAAAAGTTTAAAAAAACGAAAATAATTTTTGTAGTGTGTGGGAGTTGAGGTAGTATGGACCCGAATTTATCTACTAACTATCATCATGCCGCATACGAAAAAATTTTCACTGATTTTCGTTAAGGTACCTCACATACAATCATCAATCAACGGGATGTTCGAAAATCCTGACAATGGCTATGTGGGGGCTAGATCAAGTTTTCCTCGAATGTTTTCTTTTTTCACCACAAAGATATACTGTTATGAGTAAAACATGTTCTGCAATTTTCAATTTATATATAGTCATCAGTAAGCATTTCAATCATATATTCCATACATTGATCGATATTTCGGTCATGGAGTCGATATCGTCGGTCCCTAGGGGCTTGAACAGTTTTGGTTTGATTTGCTCATAAGTTAGAATACTAATTTTATCCCTTGACATTAATTACTTCTTGATTTGTTGACTGGAAGAATTAAATGGATTTTAAAATTGTTTATTGGAAGTAAGCGGTGTTTGTCGAATCATTTCACGATTTTTAACACTTTGATATAGGTCGGTCATGTCTCGAGATATGTGATTTCACGGTGCCATGCCCATCATTCAATTTTCACACCGACTCCCATAAATCCCGCCACAGACGGACGTACAGGCAGATAGTACCCGGATTTCAACCCAACTCATCATCTTGAAGGTGATAACCGTTAGGTGAACAAAAATATTATACTCCGTAGCAACAGATTGCAAGAGTATAAAAACAAATGCAACAGAGCAGGAGAAAATCTTCATCTGAAAACGGGTTTCCCGAAGTGGGCTGAAGCAACAATTGACGAAATATAAAAAAATTATATTCAGTTTGACAGTTTATCAAAAGCGTAATGTTTTTATTGTAAATCTCGTATCTAGAGAAATAGCTACTATAATACATAAATGGAACTCTAGTCGAGAACACAAATTCCGAGAACAGTCCAGGGCTAACTTCCTAGCACCTTCATCTTCTGATTATGAGGACACTATTCAATTGCCAAAATACTATCTTCCCTGTTTGAGATTAAATTGATAATATGTATGTCTTCATCGAACACTAGCCATTTGAGGTGCCACACTTTGCAAGCTTATTTGTGTGGACTGCAATTTTGTATTGAGAAGATTTCCGCAAGCTTTTGTCTAATTGCCCCATTTCTTTTCTGCTCGAAAACTACTTGCAGGTGCATGAGATGTTCGACTCAAGCGCCGCTGTTCGCAATTAGTTGGCCAAAATGTCTGATTGCAAGCAACCGGAAAATTTATTGCACGGCAACAACAACAGACAGCGGACCAAAGCAACTTGAACGCGGCTGTGAGAAGCTCAAGGTGCAATTGCGCAATGCGTCTGCGGAGATAGCGGAAAGCAAGTGTGAAACGGATAAGGTAAAGGCAAAGAAAAAATTCTAAACTAAAAGAGCACAGCAAATTAAAAAATAAAAATAAATTAACAGAATAGTAAAGGATGTTTTGAAAATTTTGTACAAATCGGAAGCCGCAAACTTGAAATTTCAACGTGGCGAGTTACATATGTACATACGTACACATGTATGTATATACTAATAAGGGGCAGCCTGTGCGCCGTTAGTTGGCATGCTGTGGACATCTTACAATGCTGTTGCCACTAGCGTTTTCCCTTTCCTGCCAGCTCTCGAAGGCTCGTTATTATCGGTAACAAGTCACGCTTGTAGCGAAGTTGTGCGGTCACGGAAAGCATTGGGCTGACTGGCAACATAAGCAGGACAAAGTGGCGCGACTAGCGAACAGATGTGATTTTCCCTAAGTATTCGCACGTTTCTGTTTCGACGCCGCATTGATTTGCCCCGTGCTGTCCGAACTTTGGAATCACTTGTATGGATGTCATGCGAATCAATGAAATAAGTGGAGCAACTATTAAGAGGTCATCAGAGATGACGGAGACACGTGCGCGGTTGTGTTTGCACATAATTATACATCCGCATGCGTGCCTCGGTGCTACATTCTGAATAGAAAAAGTTCAGCTTGAAGTTTATACAGTTATGACGGTATAATTGCTATTACCGCTGTCCTTCCGAAAACCCCTGCGTTTCTGCTTTCCGCAGTCATTTTAGAATGTTTTTCTCTACAAGTACGCAAAGAGAAAACACCGAACGAAGTTGGATATTCAAAAGCATTTGACATAGCATTCTGATACAAACTCTATAACAATCTCTATTCGACGTGTCGACCGGGTAGCGAGTGTATAGAGTAGTCGAAGAAGTCTTTTCGCATTTCTAATCCAACTTCCACTTATTTTTTTATATTTATAATGAACTTTAATGAACCCAATATGTACCATTTTGGTAGACCACTTTTTGCCATTTTTCCGCTAGAGACATTATTCCATCAGTGTAAATCTTTCCTGGTTTCTCGACGAAAAACTGCGACAAGCAGTCATTTTCACAAGCTTCTCTTGTAACCAACTCCATTAAGGATGTTCCGCATTCCGAACAAATGGTAGTCCGATGGTGCAAGGTTAGGGCTGTATGGTGGTTGCATCAAAACTTCCCTTCCAAACACTACCAGCTTTTGCCGAGTCATCAAATATGTGCCCTGATATAAGACGAAGTCCTTTCTTTTGATCAGTTCTGGCCGTTTTTTTCGATTGCTTGCTTCAGTCTCATCAGTAGTTGATAGTAAAATGTAGAAGCAATGGTTAGACCGGGCTGGAGCAGCTCATAATCGATGATTCCTTTCAAATCCCACAAAATACTCAGCATAGCCTTTCGAGGCGTCAATCGTGGCTTTGCGATCATTTGTTGAGATTCACCACGCTTCAACCAAGATCTTCTTCGCACATTATTGTCGTATGTGATCCACTTGTCTTCTCCTAATACTATTCGCTTCAGGAATGGTTCGACTTTATTTCGGTTCGGCAAAGAATCGCAGATGTTAATTGGATCCAATACTTTTGTAGCCAGCCTTGTTTAATGGTTCAAAACCGCTGATTTTGGTTTCTTAGCAAAGTCATGGCAGCTTATGTGACGGTCCTGGCCAATCTTTTCCATAACTTCATCGACTTTTTCAACGATAGGTCGAACAGAGCGAAGAGCATCCTTCACGTCAAAATTTCTAGAACGAAAGCGTTTGAACCCTTGTTGTGGTAAGCGACCTAATACAGCATCAAAATATAGCGATTTTTATACTCTCGCAATAAAGTTGCTAAAGAGAGTATTATAATTTTGTTCACATAACGGTTGATTGTAAGTCCTAAAACTAAAAGAGTCAGATATAGGGTTATATATACCAAAATGATCAGGGTGACGAGTAGAGTTGAAATCCGGATGTCTGTCTGTCCGTCCGTCCGTCTGTCCGTCCGTCCGTCCGTCTGTCCGTCCGTCCGTCCGTCCGTGCAAGCTGTAACTTGAGTAAAAATTGAGATATCATGATGAAATTTGGTACTCTTATTTCTTTGCTCCATAAGAAGGTTAAGTTCGAAGATGGGCAAAATTGGCCCACTGTCACGCCCACAAAATGGCGAAAACCGAAAACATATAAAGTGTCATAACTAAGCCATAAATAAAGATATTAAAGTGAAATTTGGCAAAAAGGATCGCATTAAGGAGGGGCATATTTTGCTGTAATTTTTTGGAAAAGTGGGCGTGACCCCGCCCCTACTAAGTTTTTTGTACATATCTCGGGAACTGCTACAGCTATGTCAACCAAACTCTATAGAGTCGTTTCCTTCAGGCATTTTCATATACAGCTCAAAAATGGAAGAAAGCGGATAATAACCACGCCCACCTCCCATACAAAGGTTATGTTGAAAATCACTAAAAGTGTGTTAACCGACTAACGAAAAGCGTCAAAAACACTAAATTTTACGGAAGAAATGTCAGAGGGAAGCTGCACCCAGGCTTTTTTCTAAAAATTAAAAATGGGCGTGGCGACGCCCACTTATGGACCAAAAACCATATCTCAGGAACTACTCGACCGATTTCAATAAAATTCGGTATGTAATATTTTCTTAACACCCTGATGACATGTACGAAATATGGGTGAAATCGGTTCACAACCACGCCTTCTTCCAATATAATGCTATTTTGAATTCCATCTGATGCCTTCTCTGTATAATATATACATTAGGAACCAATGATGATAGCGGAATAAAACTTTACACAAATACGGTATTTGAGCTGAGGTATCCCTTGTGGAAAAATTGTCGTGATCGGACTATAACTTTTCAATGCAATTAAAATAAATGAAAATACAATTCAATACTCAAAGTACACAAATTGATCTAATCTAATTAATTTACAGCAAAATAAAAAAATATGTAAATGACGGATAATGAAATCTCGTTTATCACTTTATCATGCGAGAGTATAAAATGTTCGGTGACACCCGAACTTAGCCCTTCCTTACTTGTTTTTTATTATTTTCAATCATTTTTGAACAGCTGTAACTTTCTTTTTGACTTTCCTGAATTTCATTTTTCTTTGATTAAATGAAGCTTAAAATCTCATCTTTCCAGCACTATATGGTATGACACAATGTGGTTGGTAGCACTGGAGATATACGACCGAAATGACATCTATTGAAAAATACAAAAAGACTTTATCGACTGACCAATATTTTTCTAGGTCAACCTTTGGGGTAAGCCCAATTTTATTGCGGCATCCAAGAAATAGTTGGGCTTTGCTAATTATAAAATAACTTGTCTTGTCTCCAACCACCTGAGGCTTCAGGTTCCTTCGTTTGTCAATTATTTAAGCATTAACCTAATTACACCCATACACATACATATACACACTTCGGAGTAATAATTAAGGATTTATGTTCCTTTCCAATTGCAGGTGTCGGCGAGTGCGGAAGATCAAGCCCTCGATTACGAGCTACATAAACGGACCTCAATATGTGTTTGTGTCTGGTTTAAATAAATTAAATCAGCACGCACCTGTATGCGAACATTACCAAAGAACAAAATTCAACAATTAAATCCGGTTTAGAGCCTGCAGCGCCACCGCTTTTCAGCATCTGCCTTATACTCATACATAGACAAAAGCGTATACGGCTGTGAGTTGCCCTCAGCTGGAAAGTTTATAGCAATATTGTAGCGATTAAAGTGCAATTCGCGAGCGTTCAATAATAAATTCCAACAACTAGTGAATAAATAATACGTTCATATACACATTTATATGCGTGTTTAATTTAATAACCTAAAAAATAGAAACGTTTACACTTCCGGTGCAATTGCAGCAGACAAAGCAGACAAAGCCGACAAATAGCTCAACAACAACAACAATAAAATGGCTGCGCGAAACAGCATTTGGACATATTTGTGCGCCCTCCGCCTGACTCTGCTCGCCCTGCCGCTGCTGGTGGCAAACACAGAGGCGCGAATCGGTAAGTGCTCACAGACTTATGTAACCATATGCAGAAGCTACTGAAAATTTATAATCCCGCACATGTTGCCAACTATTTTGCATACGTTTAAGTGCAGCAGCTGCCCAGAAAACATGAAAAAACGCAAAAGAGAAAAACTAACTGAAAATTAAGTAAGCAATTAAAACTAAACTCCGGTTGGGAAGAGCGGAGAATTTTAAACGACGATTTAACTTATGAACAGATCACAGTAAGCCCTCATGGAGTAGACAAGAGTGACAATAGTCGCATGCATTTACTTCCAAAATGATTTTTCCTAAAATTGCTCTGACTGTAATGCGATGAATGTGTGTTAGTAGAAGCCATCAATGTCAGCAACATGTGCATGTGTGATGGTCCAATTTACTGCTAAATTAAATGGAAGAATGCTGACAAGACAAGTAAAAATCAATTTTATCCTTACTAATGGCTATCTGAGCTGTATGTGTGAATGTTTATGTGTATTTAGGAACCCAGGCATATAAATATGGTCATACATTCGTGCGAGTCGCCAGTTTACGGCGTAATTGTTTAAAATCTTTGCGTAGAATTTTAGGTTGCATGCTTATACAACTCCCTCAAAGCGATTCCATTGACTGTTGCCAATACTTCTCATGAAATGGTATAAATTTTCGAATTCCCACATTTGTGTGATATGAATACAGATACTCGAAGGAACTTGTGTCTGCGGTGCTCAACGACTTACAATTATTTGAATTCATCAACTTGTTACAAAAACAACAAAGATCGCATCACTCCAACAATCATCATGAGCTTTAACATGCTCTGCACAATGTGGGCGTGACTAAGCAAATACGTAAATACAGAGCTCATGCTCGTCTACAAGCCTTAAACCACATTGTAGTTAGTTTTCAATAGGAGAGTCCTTGCGCCCATACCATAGTAACTAGCAGAAAGTTGAAACAATATCTCTGCTTCCCTTGTTAGTTTGTATATTCATAATTTTCCATACACATGTCGTAGATACGTATGTTTGTGATGTGCAAATATTTGAAAATTTTCTAAATTTAAACGGTAATGCTCCGTTCTGTTACGGAGCTGAAATAAGGCCAGCCTACGCTTTCCAACAGGCATACTGAGGACACATAAAGCGTAATCACTAATGCAAGTGGAGCTCAACCCGTTCTAAAAGCTTGTAAAGTCCCGCAAATTATGTCTGCCAAACATTCCACGTCGGTACTGATTTATATTAGAAATTAATGTAGGCGTGTGTATTTATAAGCTTGCAACATGTTGCTGCAGAGTATAATGGTTTTGTTTACCTAACGGTTGTTCGTTTCACTTCAATAGTCGTAAAAGTGTTTTCGCATTCCTAATCAAATTTAAATAATTTTTTTATATTTATAATGAACTTTAATGAACCAAATATGTACCCTTTTGGTCCACTACTTTTTGTAATTTTTCTGCTAGAGATATTATTCTAGTGTAAAACTTTTCTAGTTTCTCGGCGAAAAACTGCGACAAGTCATTTTAATACAGGCTTCTCTTGAAGCCAACTTCGTTCCAAAAAGGGAATTCGGCTTTGACTGAAACAAAGAGTACTCCGATAGTACGAGTTCAGAGCAATATGGAGCATGCATCAAAACGTCTTAGCCAAACTCTCCCAGGTTTTGCCGAGTCATCAAAGATGTGTGTGGTCTAACGTTGTCCTAATGGAAGACGAAGCCCTCTCTGTTGATCAGTCCTGGTCGTTTTTTTTTCCATTGCTTACTTCAATCTTATCAGTTGTTAGCAGTAAAATGTACAATCAATCGTTTGACCTGGTTGGAGCAGCTCATAGTGGATGATTCCTTCCCAATCCCACCAAACACTCAGCACAACCTTTCGAGGCTTCAATCCTGACTTTGTGACCAGTTGTTGAGCTCCACCACGCTTTGACCACGATCTTTTTCACACTTTACTTTCGTATTTGATCTACTCTTCGTTTCCTGTTGCCAGTCGTTCCAGAAATTGTTCGGTTTTATTTCGTTTCAGCAGAGAATCGCAGATGTTAATTCGGTTCATTAAATTTTTCACAGACAGTTCATGTGGTACCCAAACATCGACCGTCCTTTTGTAGCCAGCCTTTTCTAAATGTTTCAAAATGTTAAATTTTTTACATAATTTCATCGACTTTTTCAACGATAGGTCGTCCAGAGCGAAGTACATCTTTCACATAAAATTTTCTGGAAAGGAGGCGGGCGAACCATTATTGTGCTACACGAACTGATATAGCATCGTCTCCGTAAACTTCAACTTCTAAATGAAGCCTAGGATCTCACCTTTTCAATATTATACGGTATGACAAAATGTGATTGGTGGCAGTGGAGATATACGACTATAACGGCATCTGCTGACAAGACGAAAAGACTTTTTCAATTACCCAGTACAAATATTTTCTACCTTCTGGGTGACTGTCGTGTGAACCTATAAGGGCCAATATGAAACCCACTTAAAAAAAAATCGAATGAAGTCGAGTGAAGACTTATTCTACATGACATACTATATAACTAACAAGCCTTATGTAGCTAAAGGTATTCGTCGGGTTCAATCCTTCCAATTTGCAAGATTCTGAAATGTTCGGTTATACCCGAACTTAGTTATTCCTTACATGTTTTGTATTCAAAAGAGCTGACAGTTTTAAAATACCTGTAAAGACATGTGTGAATACATTTTGCTCTCATTTCGCATAATCCACTTACGTTCACAAGTGTACATTTTTAATTTAATTAATCAACGTGAGCATCTTGGAGAACTTCCATTGACTTTCGCTTGTATGTTTATGCTTAACGCCTAACGACAGCACGAATTTAAGTCAAATGTGGATATTCTTTCTTTGCTTGTTCGCAATTTTCTTAACTCTTTTAAATTTTAAATGGATTTAACCCATTTACCCATTAACTCAGCCATTAACACTCGACCCTCATTCGCTCATTCGCTCGTTCACAGCAATCCACAGCGCATAGCTGCCAAGCTACCACTATTTGATTTGTTGGTATTTGTGCTATTGCCACTGCTGTTGGCTTAATTAACGCATAAAGCTTAATTGAAAAAGTTTTAAGTTCACTTTCACCAACAAAAGATTTGCTACACGAGCAAAATGTCTCCCGYACAGTCACCGCTCTTCGCGCTTAAAAGGCATCCTGTATCGAGGTTTACATACTACACCACCACTATGGACATACGTCTATATAAATATGCGCTCATATCAGTATTTTTGTAAACCTTTTTGTGCATGAGTGAGCATAGATTACTAGTAATTAAGCTCATTTTAKTCACCATAAAGCTCTAAAAAGTTCTGTCAATAGTCTAATGTTTATTTTGTATAATTATTCGCAGGTAACATTGACAATTACATAAATAGTATTTAAATAACAGTTAATCACAGAATACCAATATGTCATTTGTGTAGTATCATCAGTTATAAGTTTGGAGTAGTTTGCAGGAACGCTTTGAATCGCAGACATTTCACTCGCATATGGGACTTAGCTCAATCACTTGCAGAAAGAATACACTTCGTGCATTGTGCTGAGCTTGAGACAACATTCGTCATCAATGTCGCGGCGCTCACGACTTTTGTCCACTGTATCTACATTATTATATGACCGCCGTGAAGCTTGGCCAAGAAGGGAGAGTTCGCATAAGCGAAAGGCTGCTGAGCGTCCATTTCACCATTGCCTTGGTCAGCCCATTTCCCTACATTCAAACGAAATTGAAAACTACCAAAGATTAAATCTTCGAACAACAGACCACTCACTTGACTTCGTGAATCTAGTATTGAAGCCATTTTCGAAAGCGCTCGAGAGTACCATGTCCAGGTAGGGGCCATAGATTTTTCGCTCGCCAAAGTTTAGTTCCATTTGTGCCAACTCAATGGGCAGCAAAGCGAAGAGTTTGAACAAGTTCACAGACATTATAACGGCAATTTATTATAAGGTGTTATATTAAGTTCTTTCTAATCAGACCAATGATTAAGCTCATTYAAGTTGTGCTAAGCAACCGAAGTAAGAAGAACTTTTCGCTAGCTTTTTATACCAAGGAGCTCGCTCAGCTCGGTGCTGATGCACTTTCATATACGTCAGGTGACAATTGCGATTAATCCGGCCGCCAAAGAAATGAGGCTTGCCAACCGCTATGTGTCGAAATCTAAGGCAGTGCTAAGGCCGATTGGAACCGACCTTGACAGTCGTTATTATTACTACAGAGTTATTCTGTGTTGTATTTCAACAGTGACGTTGGAGTCAAGTCGTGACGACTGTTTATTTGATAACAGGAGATATTTCGTCTTGTCCTCGTTCACTACCAGATCCATTAGCTTCGCTTCCTTATTCTTTCTGACGAAAGCAGAAATAAAGGCGCGTTTGTTGAAGCCAATAATATCAACTTCATYGCCGTATGCCAKCAGCTGTACGCTCTTATAGAAAATTGTGCCTTCTCTATTCTGATCTGCAGCACGAATTATGTTCCTCAAGAGTAAATTGAAGAAGCCGCCCAAAAGGAGTCGCCTTGTCTAACCCCTCGTTTGGTATCTAACGGCTCAGATAGGTCCTTCCTGATCCTGACGGAGCTTTTGGTAGTGCTCAACGTCAGTTTACACAACCGCACACAATTCAGATATATCAAAATACAGACAGCTCTTTTTCGTGTTGTCAAAAGCAGCTTTGGAATCAAAGAAGGGGTGACGCATGRTGAATATCTGGTTAGTTGTTGATTTTCCAGGAAGTTTATCCCACGGTATTTGGCGCAGATTGTGAGGTCTCCCTTTTTGTGGATTAGGTCACTGTCGAGCATGCTTTCGTCCATATTCTACATATCAGAARCTAATGCTTGCAACAGGCTGAATGAGTGTTCCCTCCATAATTTTTGTATGCTCTGGGCAYCAGTCACTAGATCACCTCTGGGGGTTCTGCAGAAGTATGTTGCGGTCTTGAAACCTTCTGTTGGTTACCAGGTAGCTTGGTGTGTTTTCCAATGGTGGAATCAATTACTACAGATAACTATATTTCAAGTCCGATCAGCGTCAACCCATTTGRGGATGTTTCCACATGGAGGCTGAATTTACCGACTGTTATGCTAMAGATACCTTTTTTGTTAGCCCTGGCGTTAAAGTCGCCCAGCATTCTTTTTTCACATCGTGGCGGGGAAGCTCTCATAGGTACGCTCCAAGCGCTCATAGAAGGCATCTTTGGTAACATCGTTCTTATCTTCCGATATTGGATATGTTGAAGGACTTCGGTTTGATGCGCATTGTGGCTAAACACTCATCCAATGGGGTGAGTGCCTGGACCCGGCGATGGAGTCTCTCTCMCACCACGAATCCCACATCGAATTTGCGCTCCATTTTATAGCCACTGTAGTACTCCTATATATTCTTAATATTATAATTTTCTAATTTCGGACTGTCTAAATGTGGTAAATATCGGTTGATATGTAAGATCTCTAAAAATAAGTGAGGGTATGATTTGAAGACACTGTAGTTTTGTGTCGTAAATTTGTGAAATCTGGTCATAAATTGCGCCAGCATAAATATAATACTCATAATTGATTAAGTTAATGCTTGTATGTAAATTTTAACTGGAGTATACTTCAGTTTACTGTCTCCAAAGAAGCCACGACCATCGCGTTGGCTTTATACCGTTGAAACTGCGTGATGTTTATATGAAATCAAGCTGACATGTTCTCGTGAATATGACTACGTCACCCGAATGTGAAGTGTTGTTTGTCTTCATATGCATAAGACAGCGGTGCAAATATAAGTGAGCGTGCCTTGTGAATCTATTACGCCTAGGGATTCATACTGCTGCCGTTGAGAGTGTGGTAATTAAATGCAAAGTAGAATTCTTTTAAGTTGAATTTCGGGCTAARAATGGTGAAATGATTACCGCAACACCGGTGATTTCGCATGTTATCATGGTGGCCCCCACCAAATACATGAGCAGTATTTTGCGAGGACGCTCGTATAAAAGCGCAACAGAATGTTGCAAACAACATCAGTTCCTTCGCACAGCTTCAGCAGAGCGTTGTGTGCAAATAAAAGATAATTTTCGAAGTATACCCGTATAACTAAATAAATTAACCCCAACTATGGTTTCGAGTTCGCTGAAAATTTGCGCTTTACTAACAATATTCGTAGTCAGCTTGCAGCATATCTCGGCGGAGCAGGCTGTTTGCGGTCCCGCCATAGACGCAGCCCTCAGTCTCATGTGCGAAAACGGCTTCAATACCAAATTTAAGAAATCACGTGAGTAACCGTTATTTATTTAGTGCATAGTTCTCCCAATAATAATGAACACTTTTCATCCAATTCATCGAATTTTAGTGGAATGGGATGATCTCGGTAACACTGAGCCCGAAGCATTGTCGCCCTTCGGCRTGATGAACTTYCCTTTCTTAGCCAAAATTCATGGCGGCCAGGTCGATACAGTGGCTAAAACACGTCGCCGCCGGGAAGGTGTCTACGACGAATGCTGCCGCAAAGCCTGCTCCTACAACGAGTTGTTATCCTACTGCAAATAAGCTTTTCCATTTCTAGAATCTTTTTACCGACTTTCACGTTAAATGAATTTACACAGACTCTCCAGAATCCACGTTTTACGCAATTACCACYCTTCCCCAGCTCATACGTGAGGATATGTTGCCAAGCGATGAAACTAAGCGGCGTTCGAAAATGCTTATGATACTTATAGTTGTGATACATACTTACTTGTGAATTAATATCTATGAAAAAAAATCTTAATAAAATAATATAAAATTGAAAATTTGTCAGTAAGTTCAATGAAGAGATCTTCAGGCTGTTGGATGTTATAGTTATTTACACATAAAACAAATAAATTGTTATGCAAAATCACAAAAAGTTTTTACAACCAAAGTTTTAGCTTCTTCCACAAAAATGCATCCTTCATTGCCAGACATTCCTTGCTCACCTGCACTGTGACGTAGTGTGTGCCTTCGCATGCACTTCGGTTCATCCTACAACCGTTGATGTAGCTGTAAATCACATGTGCGCTCATTAATATGCAATAATTCGATGAAGCCCAATGAACATTTACGCTTGTATTGAGATAAMATTAACATAATGCTAAGTCGCGTGTGTGTGCGTGAACATCGCATGTATTAACTATACTAGTACAGCTAAAAACTGGCGATACTGCAAGGACATTTAGTCCTTTTTAGGCAAAGTTGCCGATATAAAAGCCAACCGAAAGCTCAGGAACCAACAGTTCGCTTTCGTAGCRTCAAGAGGAGGAACACATTTTCGAATTTATTTCAACACATTGAGAATGAACTTGCTGAAAATCGGCGCTTTGCTGCTGGTGCTATCGRTGGCCTTGCATCAAAGCAYTGGCAGAACCGTTTGTGGTCCCGCACTGGATGAGGTGCTCAGCGCTATCTGCGTKCATGGCTTCAATACAAAATTCAAGAAATCATGTGAGTATGATGAGTGTTTTGTTGAGCAATAAGCGAATGTCGATTTTCAGTGGAATGGAATCAGCTGGGCAATAATGCTGTGGAAGATGAGCTAGCTTTTCCTTATGCCAGATTTCCCTTTTTGGCCGAAATTCACGGCGGTCAGCTGAATACAATGGCAAAAAATCGACGGCACCGTGACACAATCGTAACCGGTGTCTACGATGAATGTTGCAACAAAGACTGCACCTATAATGAAATTCTCTCGTACTGCAATCGGTTTGAGTAAACTAGTTGGCTCTGCAAAGAATCGCATTGAATAAATGGTTTTTGGCTTTTACAAGGTTCTACCATAAGGCTCCCTTTTTGTAAGAAGACTCTTGAATAATCTTTGAATTTATACTAATAAAAAATTTTCCTGCACAACAAACAAATACATTTTGAACTAGCAAAGGTATAAAGTACGAAAGGTATACATAACTTGTATGGACTTCRGACGTGCTCTCATAAATATGCAACSTTWAACACGGMATTCAAGTTATGCATTTRCGAAGAGACAGATATGCTAACCGCACTTGATTGAAGCCCAAATCTTCACGACAATRAATGCCACATTTGTCAGACGGATTAATTTCACTGGAACGAAGAGTATTTGGGRAATAAGGAACAGAGTTTCGCAGGTGCTTTAGTGTTGGAGAAGTTTTGTAGTTGTAGAAGTTTTGTTAGGTTAGTTGGCTGATCAAAGATCGCCCGTGGAGTACTATATGTAGTAATTGTGAGGCCGTATAAAAGAACAATTCCTGTGTTCGCACTATAAATTAGCAAAACTCTTAGTAGCCTATACAAATTTCCATTCCCGCCAGCTCGGTTGGATTGGTGTTTAAGTCTTGACCTCCCACACGCAGGACAGTCAAGAAGGAAGTGTTGAGCAGTTTTCACTTCATATTCTTCCATACAGCTTCTGCAGATGGCGTCTGGTARGATTCCCAGCCTTACTGTGTGCACGACAATTGAACAACGGCCTATTCATTAAAAGCGCCAAAACTAGGGAGAGGCTAGCGTTACTGGGAACAAAGAGATCAYTAGATCTCTGGCAATCGATCTCGGGTAAGACCAAATTATAGCTAATTACCAAATTCGATATTGCTTTTTTCATAATTACATTTCAGAGGTGGAACTTGAACGGAATTTATTAACACAAGTGAGATTTGAAAACAACTTAAAATGCATGTCGTGCGAGTTGGGTCGGCGACGCCAGAAATTCGAACGAAATAATGGAAGCCTTATTCAGACAATTTTAATCACTAAATTACTAAGAACTAGATTTCCCTCTAAAAACGTCAAGACACCGTGCATTTTGTCATAAATATTGTGCTGTCGAGCGTTATCAGTTTACTCATTGGCCAACAACTGCTGTGCTCTCACTAAATTTATTTAACTACACATTTTGCCAGCTCTATGACTGAGTCCAATAAGTGCTTTAAATGCTGTCGGCCATGGCAACGGCAGCTGTTATTCGCACCACAAGTACCGCTGTTTCTGCAAATTTCATTTTTGGTGTTGTAATTGACGTTGACAATGCTGCAGTYAGTTTGCCAGCTTTCGCTTGCCATCTGACAAATTTAACTGTGACACTCCTACCAACAACATAGCCGCTGCTCGTTAGCAAGTTTTTGCCCGGGTTTTCTGTTGCTGCTCTGCTTCTCTCTTCGACAAAACAACTTCCTGTCGACGATGGGCTCCTTACAGATAGCTGAGATTAATATTGTACTTATTGGCTATTTTTCGTGTTCGCTCTCCCCCGCCTCTAACGCTTGCTAGTCAGAGATCATATTGCTAACGTCTCCAGTTTTGCCATTTTTACGAGTACTTGACAGTCAGCTCGCTGCTTTTGTCCGATTGCAGCGCAGCAATTTTACCGAAAAATGTGTGTTGAAAGGCTAAAATTCAATGTTGACAGTTGAGATTTTCCGTCATTGTTGGATCTTAGTTTGTGCTTGGTAGGCGCTTCATTGGATCCTCTCACAGTTGTATGGGTGCTCAAATTCGCAATATACTTAAAAGTTGGATTTGAGACTTAAGTGAAAATATGATTGCAAGCATAGCTGAGTTTAGTGAAGGTTCTGAAACACATTTAGTCTTTGACTGCACACCTCAATTGCCACATCTCGTTCGGAAATGAAAGGTTTCACAAAATTAATCAGCTTATGACCCGTTTGGGAATTCATATCCAAGTCTTAACAAAACTTATTTTGTAAATAAGCAGAGGATCTGTACGTGGTTTATAGTACTGTTTTATTGGAACCGATCCGTTGTTCTAAAATATTTATTGCTAAATCGCAATCGTATAATAAAGTTAGTTGTTAGTTATGGGTATGAGCTCCTCTGTGCCTTAGATGTGAAAACCTCGACTATTGTCTACCTTATGAGCCAATAACAAAGGGAATCCATTGGGGATTGTGATAAATACATATGTGTAGAGTTAATTGATAGATTAGTATAATTTTAGTGCACAAAACTTGGTTTCAAGGCATTTAGATCACTTTAATCACCATTATCTATTCGTAACTTATTATTTGCATATACAGTTTTTGAGTTAATTTATAATAATGTGCTTTATCACTTTGTTAATGTATAGAATATAATTATAATTAAATATAAAGAAGTTGCTCTATTATATTTAAGTATGAAATTGGTTGCATCTGGAAAATTGTGTTTTGGTGTAATACAGTTTCTTTCTTATGCACAAGTGTTCTCAGCTTAATTAAAACTAGAATAATATTTGTGTTTTACCATCAGCCGTGACTGTAATCCCTGGATACTTAGACTAGGCCCGAGCAGTATCTAGCGAGTTCGGAGTAGGAGCAACCGAAGCTGCAGCATTCGTCCGCTATGCCAATGCTGTGGGTCAAATTTCGCCGCAAGCGCTTCCCAGTGATTCGATGTTTTCGACGCCAACGCGCGTCCTTCTTCAGCAACTGCTTCAGACTTGGTTGACGGTTCCCTTTCCTAAGTGCTACTGATGCCCCCCGTTGAAATTGTGTCGTGAATTTTCGTGGTAACAGGAATTGATCGGCGTGCCTGCGACTACGCAGATAACGTATTGGACCATCTGTCATTTGCGCAGAGAGTAAGAACAGAAATAAGTCAAATTTGAAAATACTTTTCAAAATATTCCTCGCCAGCTGTTACTTACCCAGATTTTTTTTATTAAAGCCATTCTTGCAAACACTGAACATCATAATGTCCAGAGCGTCGCCGCAAAGAAACTCCGATGGTTTTTCCGCTTCACAATCATGTACCAACAACATCAAAGACAACAAAATTAGAAATACCCAAATTAACTGTCGCAAGGGATCGTTCAATTTTGAAAAAGCTGGTGCCATATCAGCTTTTTGTGATCTTTCCACATCTCGCTCGAACTGGCCAAGTACGTACTTTACAGCGCCACCGTTTGTTTAGAACTAAGCTATGAGAACGACTTCCCTGCTTGGTTCAAGTGAATATGTGTCACTAACTGCAAGAAGAGCGTTGACTGACGGGTGTGCGAACGGGACCGCCTATATCGGCTTGTGTATGCAACGAACAGCTGTTTCCAATGACGTTTCACTGGTCAGGTAGTTAGCTACAAAGTGATTTATGTGCAGGCGTCTGATACTTAGGGTAGCTATGTAGGCATGTGTAAATGACCCCCTATGTACATGCCTTCCATGTGTTTATTACAAACTATACCTGATCATCTAGAGTCGCGTATAAAAATATAAACAACTTCTCAGGCATAGATATGTTTATTACTGTTTATATGTTTATTTACTTACTATATAGAGGTTTCGTCCACAAAACTTCAACCAAATATTAAATCAAGAATTATTTTTTCTAACCTTTCCTTTTTGAAAAACTTTAATTTTTATAACTAAACGTTCGACGTATGCAGGAAATGATTTACGGATCATTCTAAACAACTTTGCTGAAAAGACCATTGGTCTAAAACCGGTTACAAACCAAATATTTTTAAGGCGCAGTTTTTCTGTACTTCTAAAAATTTATTCATCAGTTTTTGAGAGTTGAGATTGTGTCGGAATCGGCAAGATCTTAAAACCATAATCTCCTATACAACCGATTATTCAGATTCCTAAAACTAAGCCTTAAAAATCGCTGACCGCTTTAAGACTCTTCCTCTGTTAGGAAAAGTACCGCATACACAATTTAATGGTGTAAAATTCGACCCACTCTAATATAGATATGTTTACATTTCGGTGCATACTTATGTATAAATACATACATATGTATATAAAAAAATCTATATATAGGCACGATGCTAACAACAAAGCAATTGATAACAAAAGTGTAAAATATATTTACATATTTCTATTTAGAAAATATAATGATCATATTTAAGAATCCTACGAATATGTAAGTTTCAACGCATACAACGACACCATTGAAGTAGTAACAATAGTCAGCTGAGCACTCAGCTGCTTGAAGCAGCTGCGATAAGTGACTAAACGCCCTGTACACCATGCGGGTATTTCCTCGACATAAACATGCTGTAATACAGGGTGATTGGTACTTAAATTTCACACAGGCCATTTTAAGCCCCATCAAATGAAGCCGTGCAATGCCGGTCTGAAAAGCAGCGGTATTGAAATAATCATTTCAAGTCATGGATGCTTGTATTCCTTAGATTAAAATAGATTTTCTTCAACAATTTTTTTCTCATATAAAATATTAAATGTTTTTTCGCATTTATTTGTTACAAACATTCACTATTAACAAAGAAATTCTGAAATTTTTGTAAGTAAATATTTTAAGCTCGGCCATTGCCACGAAATTCCCGGAGACCCACAGAAAGGAGACGCGCTCAAGCTGGCAAAATAACTCCTTACACGATCATGTAAAGTGTTATAAAATGTGTTTTAATTAGAACTCTTACTTAGAACTCGGACGGAGGGAAAAAACTGAAAATTGGAATTTGACAGACATTTTTATAAAAATTAATGAAGAAATTATGCCGAGTTTCTCTTCTACTCTCAACCAAATTAACACCCAAGAGGACTAAATTAAAATAATTTTTCGGGATCTTCCAACACTTGACTTCCTAATGCCGTACCCTGTAAGAAATAGTTGCAGTATCGGATAGCCACCGGAAACTTGTCGTTTCGCCACTATTTTAAGGGCTCATGGAAACAAAAGAACAACACACGCACACGCTCCTGCACGGCCTCAGCTGCTAAAAATATCAGTTCTAAAAAACGCGCGTGCATAACAGATTGTTTTCAAATAGATTACATTGTGCCATTGTTGTTTTGGTGTTTAGGTCAAAGAAAAACAACAACATTCCCTAAGGCATTGTTTA